CCATTGTGACCTTTGGTATTCAGGGTCTTTCATAAACAAAACCCCCTTTCTATAGACTGAATGTTTGTATCTCCCCAAAGTTCATGTGTTGAAATCTAATCTCCAATGTTATGGTATTTAGACGTGGGGCCTTTGGGAGGTGATTAGGTCATGAGGACAGATGGCTCATGAATGGGGTTAGTGGCCTTATAAAAGAGGCCTCAGAAGAGGGCTCCCTTACCTCTTCCACAGTGAGAAGACATCAGAAAGCAAGTTCTCACTAGACACTGATCTTAGACTCCTCAGCCTCCAGGACTATGAGAAATAAATGTTCAGTGTTTATAAGCTACCCAGTCTACAGTATTTTGTTACAGCAGCCCAAATGGACCAAGACACCCCTATATCCTTCAACGTCTTTGATAGACGTTTCTTTATTTTCTTTATCTAGTCAAAACCTGGCTGTCCCTTAACAAAGCACGCTTCCTATGCAGTCCTCTGGAGAGGTGGCTATTTTTGTGCCTACCACTTACATACCAATACATTTCAAATGATAAACTGCAATCCATTAGTGAGTTGTGAAACTAAGTTAGTGGGTAGTAAATGGAAAACTTTTTAAAATAAAGTAATAGAATAGAAACCAATAGCATACATTGCATGTGGTTAGAGTGAGTATTGTTTCATGAAAGTTTTGTTTCAGCTATATGAATGATGGCTTTACACTATCTACGGCCAGAAGTAAAATGTTCTCTTTGCTTTTCATGCTGCCTCAAGTACCATTTCCCTCCTTCCTTCATAAATAACGTCCTGTATCTTTGAAGCACTTGCCATCAAACCATCTTACACAGCACGCTTCCTTGTTATTATGACCTAACATATCCTGGTCATTCTCCTTTTCTCCTCAAAGCCTCCCTCACCTGGCTTGCTGTCCCATGCTCCATAACACCATCATCATTCCTGGCGACCCCGATATCCATGTGGACAATTCCATCTTATGCCCTGGGTTAGATTGTACAAGTGTGGTTATTAAAATACTGAAATATTTTCATAGTCGCTGGTGCCTCCAGGACCAACACTATAGGCTACATCCATTTTGATGGATCCATGTCCATGCTAGTATTGGTAGTTAAATACTTTGGATACTATCCCTGCTGACACCCTAGCCTCTCAGCTCCTTGGCTTTCTCTTACCTGAAATGACTTTGTCCACCACTTTGGCCATTCACTTTCACAGTCATATCCTATACCTAGTTACTACCAATGACTGCAACCCCTCCCTATCTCCAATTCAAGCTCCCCACTCTACCACCTGCACCTTCAGCTCATTACATTCTAACCAATTTGTCTACTTCACTAAGAATCTGGAATAAAACTGATCTTTCATCTTATGTTTTCCCTGTCCATCACCCTACTAAAGTCCTCTTTTCAATCATTATGCAGCTTCAATTCTTAGGTCTTACCATTTATTGCATTCTTACTATGCATTCAATTGTTTATCTACATCATTTCATCCTTCACAGCAACCCCACCAAGTAGGGGTTCATTTTGGCATTCATAATGGCATTCATTTTATTGATTAGTAAACAGCTTTATATACATAAATCTGCCCAAGATGATAGAAAGTGGAGGTTCTACAGTTTAAATGTCTGAACCACTATTTCCTTAACCATAGACTAGGAATAACTTATCCCTCTGAGTTGTGAAGATCACATATACAAAAAGTACTTTGTAAAATGTAAAGTGTGCTACAAATGTTAGTTGTAATTATTAATTACTGGTTAGGAGACCCTTAACCTTTCTCTACATAGGAGCCCTAATCTGAAACTTCCCTCAACCCTTCTCTCTTGTTTATAGTCATGGACATAGAGGAAGTAAACATCCCCACTGACCTGTTGGTAGAAAATTCATCTCTGACACCAGTCTTCAAAACTTTGAATGGAAGAAAAGCAGTGTCATAAGTGGTGGTTAGGTTCTAGTTAGCAACAGAAGGTAGGGCTTCATAATGGCCGAACAGGTTTTTATAAGCCAAGCTGATAATCCATTACAATCAACTGACTGATAAAAGAACTCTTATAACACAATCTTGAACTGGTAAATACCTGCATTGTACTTTCTTATTCAAACCACAGCAGAACAGGATTTCAGAAGTGAAGAAGCCAAGACTGATAGGCAAGAGACTGAGTCTTTTAAGGTCTTTCAAAGTCTATAGAGAACTTGAAACCGTAAGTGCCTGGGAACTCTCCCTGAGGCTCAGAAAGAACACTGCTGTGTCCTAAGGAACTCTATATTCCACACACTAGAATCTGGCTATGGGCCCACTTCATCCCATTCTGAGGTTCTGAACTCTATCAATAGGGCAGCCACAGGCCGCCACATTTCCTTAGAATGACATGATTAGACCCATCAGGTATATTGCTTTCTTGTAATACTAAATATAATGACTCTTTATTATTTGACATGGCAAATAAAAAACCCCACATTCTCATCTTTCTATCAATTTCCTCATTTCAATTCTCCTTTACTCTAGATAGACACCCCCACATCTGTATTCTTCATCCCACAGCATGCCACAGCAAGTCCATTTGTGTCTTCTGATTCTATCCAAGCTGTTCTTCCTACATTTTGCCATCAAGACTGATCTTGAAACTTTTCCACCAGAACGTTTTTAAAAGATGGAATTATCTACCTGAAACTCACTGCATATTTAATTATTCCACCTTGTAACATTATATAGGCATTTGGATTTGTCCATATATTACTGTGAAAGCTAAGGTCTACTCTGGTGTACCAGGTTAGAAGTCTAAGCCCAGGGCTCAATTTCTAATTTTGCCTTTTGGCTCACTTAATACCCCAAACCCATGCTGAGATGATATCTACACTTCACAGTTTGCTGATTGATAGGTAAAGAGATGGCACATCAAAGCATAATATAGAGGTGTTTTACATTTTTCCCTGTGATGTTTAAGACAAGGTTCTGACATGAAGTATATGTTTACTAATTATTAATGGCCCACTATCATGCCATTGGGCCAGAGCCTATTTTGCCTCCTCCCCCCTTTTTTTTATTTTATTTTTTTTATTTTTTTTTCCTCCCCCCTTTTTTTTTAAAGGATACAATCTTACACTGGTTTGTTTCCCAAAGAAGAGAGGAGAATCTGGGCTGCCTCTCCTATCTATCTATCTATCTATCTATCTATCATCTATCTATCTACTAGCTCTCCCCAAATATCCCTTTTAAGTAAAGTCAGGTCTAGGTGCCTGGTTATGTTCATTTTTGTGTGGCAGAGGCAATATAAGTGTCCATTAAACCCCATTTCCTTTTCTACTAGGCACAAGCATTTTACTTCCCAGCCACCCCTGCAGTCAGGTGGGACCATGTGACTACACACCTGAATTCAGTCTAAGGGAATGGGGTGAAAATGATGTACTTCACTTCCAGGCTGGCCCCGGACCAACAGGTCCACCACAGTTCTCCCTTATCTGAGGCCCATAGATTGGACAATTACAAGGCAACTGGTGATGGTGGAGCCACAAGATACAAGCCATGTCCTTCCATGATTTCAAGGAGCAGATAGCCCACCCACTGGCCCCAACCAACCCACTACACCTGACTTATATGAAACATAAGTCTTTATTATGTTAAATCACTGAGATAGTGGTTTTGTTAGCCTACCCGATTAACACACCTTATATTTATCAACAGTGGTAACATAATGAAAAGAACCCATGGACTTAGTTCCAGAACTCCAAGATACAAATCTTGGCTTGACCACTTCCCCCACATACTCGGTGATTGGCTCTAGAGTATACTCTATACCCTTTCCCAATTGCAGGTCTATCACATTCTCTTCTTCCTCATTATGGAGCCCTCTCTACTCTTCTGTGCCTCAAGACTTCTGTGAGGCATTCTCTGACTTCCCTCCCATACATATTTATTTCTTTGTTCCTAATGTGGAGTATACTCCTCCATTTTAGCATCTATTACATTTAACTGCAAATATTTGTTGACCTATGTTTCCAAAGACTGAGTTCTTGAAACACAGACAATTCCTTTGGGATCGCTGACTGCCAGCAGTTAGTTTTAGTGCCTGGCACATAGCAAAAACTAAATATATATTAAAGGAATGATTGTCACTTATGACATTAAAGTGAGTCATTTATTTTTTAAGTCTATAAAATTGTACAGAATTGTTGTGATAATGAAATAATGTGATTTGTAGATTATAAATAGGTTCTAATGGTAACATAGTTTATTCCTTCTCATCTTTCTCAAATTCATCTTAATGCTTCGAGGTAGCTCTGTCCAATAGAAAAATAAGCAAGCCACATATATAATTTAATAATTTTAGTAGCCATATTTAAAAGTGAAAAAAAGTAGGTGAAATTAATTTTAATAATGTATTTAACCCTATAGGGTTACCTGGGTGGCTCTGTCAGTTAAGCCACCGACTTCACCTCAGATCATGGTCTTCTGGTTTGTGAGTTTGAGCCCCCATCGGGCTCTGCACTGACAATTCGGAGCCTGGAGCCTGCTTCAGATTGTGTCTCCTTCTCTCAGTCCTTCCTCCGCTCACAGTCTCTCTCTCTCTCTCAAAAATAAAAACATTAAAAAAAAATTTAAGAACAAAGTAATGTATTTAGTCCTATATATACCAAATGCTGCTTATTAGCTATTTGACATTTTGTTAATTCAGTCTTCCAAACCTGGTGTGTGTGTGTGTGTGTGTGTGTGTGTGTGTGTGTGTGTGTGTGTGTGTGTGTTACAACACATCTCTATTTGGACTAGCCACATACAGAGAGTTCAGCAGCCACATATGGCTAGTGGCTCCCGCAAATTGGACAATGCGGCTGCAAGGCCTACTTCAGATAGCACCTTGTCCTTGAAGTCAACCTGACGATCTCTCAAGCAGCATTAGTGACTCCTCCTCAATGCCCTCTCAAACCCCCTATCCATGCTACCTTGAAACCTACAAGTCAAGCTCCTTAACGAATTCCAGATTGTTGCCTGAGAATTTGCTCTCACAGCGATTGTCTGGCATACAACGATCGGTTATTAAATGTCGGGGTAATTAATGAACCCGTGTGCAAAGAACCCCGTGGGAAGCCGAGGGCCGGGACCGAAAATGGTCAGTCAGGGAGCCGGCGCGGGTGGGCAGCCACGGTAGGCGGGATCCGGCGTCCCGGGGCGGCGGGCGCGGAGGTCCCCGGCTCTACCGGCCTGAGCGATGGGGGGCGTGGGGGCCACGGTCCACCCCCGCCCCCGCCCCCGCCCCCTCCCCCTTGCCGCCGCCGCCGCCGAGCCCCGGAAGCGGGCGGGGATTTCCTGTGCCCGCCCCACCCGCGCCCGCCCGGCCGCGGTCTCCGCCCGTCGCTGGCTCAGCAGCCGGCGGCTCGACGAAGCGGAGGGCGGAGGGGAGGGGCCGGCGGCGCCCAGGAGGGAGGCACGGGCGGCAGGCCAAGCCGACCGGGGTGAGTGGGGCCGAGCAGCAGTTAGTCGCGGCTGGAGGGAGGGACGCCCGGCTTCCCGGGAAGGCGGGTGGGGGCCCAGTCACCCACGGGGCGGGGAGGAGGATCGACGCGGCCTCCGGTCGCTGCCTTAACCGGGGGGTTGGCCCCACTGACATTCTGTGTCCGGCCTTCGCCCAGGCTTCCCCGTCCCCAGCGTCGCTGTCAGGCCCCGCGGTTCCCACCGCTGTCACTCGGGCACAGGTTACCCCGTGGCTCCTTTCTCTTGACTTGCTCTTGCCCCAGTTCACGGGAAACCTGTTTTCTGACCTCACTTCCCCTGCCCCGGCTCAGCCTCTCGGATTCTCTGAAATCTGACCCTCTCCAGGGGCACTGTGACAAGAAGAAGGGAAGAAGCAACCTTACTCCGGAGCAGGCGCCCGTCCCGCCCATGCCCCACCCGGGGCGGAGGGCAGGGTTCTCTGACAGAACGGGAGAGACACGTCCTCGTGCCCTTGGGCCACTCATTTTGATACACCGCCTTTTCCCTATTCAACAGCGCCGGCTGCAAAAACTTCTGCAGGTGGCTTGAGCCCCGGATATGTGAGGAAAAGTGAGAAATGCAAGCCCTAGAACCCAGACTCCAGTAGGCCTGGGAACATCCTGGAGCCAGGAGAAACCTGGTTAGGGCTGACACCTTAACTGCCCAGGTGCTGTCTCTGAGAGAGTGAAGATGTAGGAAATGCAGTGTGAGGATAAGTAGCCACCCCCTTGCTGCTGAGATTTTTGCCAGCACTTACACAGGTTTTCTGTGGAAAGTAGTCTCCAGTAGTCTGGAGAGGCTCACAGCTAGCCCAGTAAGCTCTGCAGAAGGAGGCTTCCCGTCAAGGGACTGTGCTGCTGGGGGGATGGAGAAAGGAGTTTGAGACAGGTGTTCAGATAGTAGCCGTAGGTAAAGCCCTGAGGGAGGATGTTCAAAAGGAGCTTGAGAAACAAGGAAGACCTCCAGTGAAGGGAGGGAATTGGCACCTTATATGTTAAAAACGAGGCAAATACAGGGGCTGGATTCAGAAGAGAAAGCTAAAATGGAAGTTTCCCTTTAATTGCTTTATGGGGAATTTTCCTTTCTCATGAGAAGTCTCTGAAAAGGAAACCTCCTAAGCTGGGAATCAGTCCAGGATGCTCCCATGAGGCCCTGAGACTCCTTTGGACTTCTGAGATGAAAGGATAATTTGTTCCCTTCCTGTGCATTGGGCTTAGGGTTGTCACCTACCTCTTCTGTCAAAGACAGGCAAGAAAATAAATGACTTGACATCTGTCATTACCTATCCTGGGCTTCTGGGTTCTTGCAAATGTCATTGAATGGGTATGAGTGAGCCAGGATAGTTCACCAAGGTTCTGACCTGTTTTTGGAAGCCTTTCATTGGCTCTGACGGCTTCGGTACTGAATAAAAATCACACCACACACACACACACACACTGATGTTGCCAAGTAGAAGGGCTCTCTGTGCCATCTCATAGACTGTTTGTCTGCGAGGAGGCAGGGAATCCCTTGTCAACAACACGTGAGACCTGCCCTGACCCCTAAGATGTCCAGAGAGGAGAAAAGCCCACAGCCTGGTCCTATGCACCACAGGATTATTATTAAGAATTTTTGTTATCTAACCCAAATCTCTTCTCTTGGCAATCAAGAGAATAGACCTGTACACAGAGATAGAAACCACTTCTGTTTTCTCCTAGACAGGAGAAAACTATATCTGTTGCTTTTAACTTTTTCCCAATGGCCATATTTCCCATCTCTTTCTCCACTTTTGTTTCTTCTGATGGAACATACTCTGGCTTCTTCACACCCTTCTTTAAAATTGAATATATTTTGCTAATGAGATCTGACTGGATCTTTCCTGTCTCAGGTTCTTTCTTATGTTTCAACTCATAGGACTTTGAATTCACCGTGAGGTCATATTAGCAGCAACTATTTCCCCTTTATCCACTTTTGGTTCAAACACTTTCTCTTCTTTTTTACTTTTCTCCATCAGACATCGACTCCTCGTTGACTAACAATTTCTCCTATCTGTCAGGGTTGCTTGGGAGTTTTACCTCTGCTTTCTGAGTTATTGGTCTTTGTACCACATTTATTACCAGTTCTCATTTTCTGCATCAGAGTGAGAGGTTGTGTCCCTTTGTTGAGGCTTAAGTGAGGTGTCATTTGGTTTAGTCTCATAAGGGAGGTGTGTGCTCCTGACACACACATACCTTTGCCTGGGACTGCCACCTATAGTAGTCATTTCATTCTGAACCAATTGATGAGAATGGATTTGTGGCAGAAAATCTTACATGTGATTATATCCATTTTTGTTGAGTGGAAGTCAGTGCATATTCTTTCCTGCATGTGTCCAGATTGCTTACTTTATTGTATTTTCAGTGGTTGAAATGAAATGAATAGCTTTTGAATTTCCAGGATTGTTTTTTTTTTTTTTTCAAATGAAGTTCTTACAGCCATCAGGGATATTCTGTATCTACCATGAGGTCCCCAAAATAACTGTTAGTGACTTTGCTATTTAGCACCTGCTCATTTCTTAATTTCTCCAAGAAGCCTGGCCCAGGCTTAGTTGATTGGAACACACCAAGCTTTTAAAATTCATCTTCCATCAAGCTTCTCGTACCCAGTTTCATCTTTTATCCCTAGGGCTGTTTTCCATAACTCCCTTAGGAGTATTACCCCTTTACATTTTTAATGGGCACAGCTGATAATGAATTTGTTTCAGGTCACAATTTGGGTTTGCAGCAAAGATGCTTTCAGAACAAACAGCAGTCCTGGGGACAGGATGGGAGTCAATGAATGTCCAGCTGGATGGAACAGAGCCTCAGGTGGAAAGGGGAAGTCAAGAAGAGGGGCCATGGAGAACAGCACCAGGGCCACTGGAGCACCTGTGCTGTGACCTTGAAGAGGAGCCACAGTCCCTTCAGGAGAAGGGTAAGAGCCTGGAGGGTGTGTGTGTGTGTGTGTGTGGGTTTGGGTAGCGGGGAGGGGAGAGCACAGTACAAAGAGTAGTCTCTTAATCTATGTTGAAAGCAGAGTTAAAACCCCCAAATTGCCATGGACTGAACACCATAACCAGTACCAGGACTAGTCCATTCTTCCTGCGCCCTGGTCACAGAGTATAAGGAGCTCCTGGGTTCTGTAAACCATGAAACTGGGTTTCTCCCGTTTCTTGCATAATCATTCCCTCCACATGCTGCAAGTGCATGGTTAGTGGTATTGTATGTGGGAGACAAAGGAAGTGACAACAGCTCTGATTACTGTTGAGAACATACCCAGTGAGATGCACTTTACTAGGTGAAAATTACATTCAAATAATACAAATTCAAACCACAGCTAGTCCAGTAGAGATGGCTGACATATAAGTTCTACTAAAACCCACTCCATCCTCCTGCAATAAACTTGCAGAATATTTTGAGTAAAGGTCTCTTCCACTAGGTGTATGCATTTGAATTTTATCAGTGGGCAAAAATACAGGACAGTGTGACCCTTAAGCTCCTTTAACATGGGGCCCAGTCTCTTATTGGGAAAGGGTGGATGGTCCATCTCTAGTGGTTCCTCTTTCCTCTCTTCAGCTCAGTCGGCCCCCTGGGTTCCTGCCATTCCCCAGGAGGGGAGCACCGGAGATTGGGAGATGGCAGCTGCACTTCTTGCGGCAGGATCACAGGTGGGCCGTGTGCTTCCCTTAGCCTCTCCCAGGGTCTCATCACGACTGCCTTTCTGTAGCCTCAGCATCACCCTATTGATTTGTTATTTCGCATGATCACTAATAGTATCCCCATCTTATAACTGAGCAGATTCTTTCCTTTCCAAGGGGCTCATCACACCCTTGAAAAAATGAGTGGAGGCTTGACAAGAAGAGGGTGAATTCCTAGAGGTTAATTTGTTTTTAATGGATGGTTGTGCTATGGTTAATTTGTTTTTAATGGATGGTTGTGTATTGTTTTAAGAACAATTTATTAATGTCTTTTAAGAAAAAAAATCTGGAAAGATTAGGAAAATACTTGAAGGAAGTTTGGAAGAACATAAAATAGGCAGGACTGGGTGGACAGTGGAGCATTTATGGAAAAAAAGAGAAAACAGAAAGATGTAAAGAGGGGCAGAGCCAGAGAGATTTAGATTCAGAAGGCAATGGAAGAACCACAGAAGAACTACACTCCCAGAATGCTTACCATGCTGTGGTTCTCTAAACGCTTTACATATATTAACCCATTTAACCCTGAGAGAAACTCAATTATGCCCATTGTACAGATGAGAAAATAGGGTAGGATAAGATTGAAGCACTTGTGTATGGCCAAACTGCTAATAAGTGGCAGAGCCAGGAGTCATTTGGCTCAAGAATCTGGGCTTCTAGCCACCATACTATGCTACCTCAAAAGATAGGGATATGGCATGATGGGTGGAGGGCGAGAAAGAATGTTTCATCTATATGATTTTGTGCTGATAGAAAAGGAAAGGTCAAGTGGAGGAAGGAGATGTTAGTACCCAATTTCTGCAATGAAAAAAATAAGGCAAGTGGGAAGCACTGGGCAGACACCATAATTAAACAGAGGGAGCAATGAGCAGTGAGGGAGCGTGCCTCCAACTTGCCATGGTCCCAGTGGGAAACTCCTCAAGAGACATTATCCTTACTCACTCACTGACCATTACTTTTACACCTCTGTTCATTTACCCTTCACCAAAACTGTATGCCCTATCTCTGGGAAATTCTCTTTCTAGATGCTCCTGTTCCTCTCTCCTCTACTGTCTCAGCATTTTATACTGAGATCACATTTTCCTTAACGAACAATTACTAACAGATGATGCTACATTTTGTTTCAGGGCCTGGTAACCATCAAGGATGTATCACTGTGCTTCTCTCAGGAGGAGTGGCGGAGCCTGGATCCTTCTCAGACAGACTTTTATGGAGAATATGTCATGCAGGAAAACTGTGGGATAGTGGTCTCTCTAAGTAAGCATAATCTTCCCTAGCCACTTTTATAAGATTATACTCTGGGAGGATGGAGCCATCTGCTCTAGAGCTGATGCTCTAGAGCGTCTGTCTAGGGTACTTTCCCTGGCTGGCAATATGTGTAAGCTTTCACCAGAGAAAGAGCATGAAGCCTAATTCAAGGAAAATGGAAGTGAGGTGTCATTTTTTATTTTTATTTTTTAATTTTTTTTAACGTTTATTTATTTTTGAGACAGAGAGAGACAGAGCATGAACAGGGGAGGGGCAGAGAGAGAGGGAGACACAGAATCTGAAACAGGCTCCAGGCTCTGAGCTGTCAGCACAGAGCCTGACGCGGGGCTCGAACTCACGGACCGTGAGATCATGACCTGAGCCGAAGTCGGACGC